TTAGAACCCAATGATTGCTTATTTTATCCTAATAAATTTTCCTCAAATTCCATTTTATAGGGTTGGAAAGATAGCGTGTAGGAGGCACATGTCTTGTACGTGGTTGACCCTGGATTGATTCTCAGGAACACTTGGTCCCCTGAACAACTCTGGGAATGACTCCTGAGCAGAGAGGTACGAGTTGCTCCTGAGCACACTGGGTGTGACCTTGACCCCTCAACCCCACCTGCCTCACCAAACTACCAGAACCAAAACTTAAAAATTAACCACCCAAAACCCCAAACCCCATTTTATCTTTTTATTTTATTTCATCTTTTTTGGATTAGCAAAATGTACAACAAAATAAACCAATTATATATGGTCAGTACTGGCATACCTAACCTTGAAGCGCAGTTTTTTAAAAAATGAATAATTCATAAATTAAAAAATTGTCTGTATATTAACAATAGAATTCTGCTTTCTATTTATAAACCCTAGAAAATCTCATGTGAGTACCCCAGTGAAATCACAGATCAGTTCTGCATTTTCCCAAAGTAATTTCTAATCTCATTTGTCTCAGAACACCTCCAAAGAAAAGAAAAAAAGATTGTTAACAAAAGCGTAAGAGGGCTGTAATACAGAAACAATTTAGACCCTAAAGAGATTCAAATACTAGAACCGTGTTTTCAAAATATGCCTGCAGGTCACATTTAACTTCAGTGTCTGGTGAAATTGAATCATAAATTTAATTAGAAGAATATGTTATTGCTATTATTACAGTGGTATTGTGCGTGCGCACACACACACACACACACACACACACACACACATACAAACTCATAGGTTTGTGTAATAGAAGAGAAGGGGTCAAAAAATAGAGTCCCTGCTTAAAAAAGACAAAACCTAGAGGCAAAGTTTGGATTTAATTTGTTGGTGCTTATTGGATTTTCCTTTCATATCTTCAATGTTTTTTTTTTTTCTAAAACATCAGCTATACGTTAAAAACTGAAATCCCAATACTTGCTGAATTACAGAAGCGTTCTTAAATTTTGTGTTTATTCTTTTATCTTTTCTGCCTCTAGGGGGAAGTGTGTTTTCAACATTTCTGTTTCAGGAAGGCTATAAGCTTCACAAGGGTATTTTACAGTGTGACTTCAGAGGTTCTTTTCTAAAAATCTGAAAGGACCCTTTCTGTAGAACCTCTTGTCACTAGGAGGGGAAAGGTCACACAGATTGTAACAAGTGGTGGAGAAAACTTCTGCCTGGATGTGCTTCCAAGTGTCTGTACGTTGGCCTTGGAGGCAAGAAATACCAGCACTCAGGCACTGATTTTATTTCACAGAGTTAGAAAACAAAGACTTGAGTACTTTACAGAAAACTTGACACCTAATTTTAATAAACAATTTGAAAAAAATGGTTTGTGGACATTGACAAGATCATTTCTAAATCTTACAAAAGGTGATGATATCTCTAACAGTGTTTAAGACTAACACGGACTTTCAGCCAACTTCATTGTATTTTGCAGCACTTCTCTGTAAGTGCCTTTTATTTTCATCCAGCAAGTAAAACAAAGAGCAAGCACTCAGTGAGAAGGTTAGCAGTCTTTTGAATGATGCTTCTTCTTCCACCCCCACTTCAGTTTTACAAAATTGAAAAAAAGTATTTGAAAATTCAAGGAAGGAGTTCTTTTCCTTTTGATTTTTGGGCCACAGCTCCTGGTGCTAAGGGGACCAGGCCTGGCCTGCTCGCCAGGAGACCCCTGCTTGTTGAGCTCTCTCCCAGAGCATGGGATGAATATTTTCTGTATCTTCTTCTTTCTTGGTTTAACTCATCTTTTTACTGTTGTAGAGATTTGTATATAAAATATTAGCAATCTTCTGACTCTGCTCTATCTTTGAAACTTAATTACATATGAAATGAAGGTTTGCTATATAACATGCTTTACTTAATGATAGTTTTGTTTCCAAATTCTCTTTCACCTGGCATAATCGGGGGTGCACACTTGATCTCTTGCCCAGTTTCTTGAAAAAGATATTCTCAGGGGATGGAGAGGTTTTTAAATAACTCATTTTGTAATTGGTGGTGGTGGTGGTGGGAACTCAATTCTTCACGCAGGCAGTGGGAGTGTCTTAAAGACAGGGGTGAATTTAGAATCTATCCCACCGGCTGGGAATGTGTTCAGTAAGCACTTGCTTCGAATGTGCGAGCCACAGGGGGGGAGAAATCTTTTCCAGCCCAAGATTGGAGAATGCATATATATACATATACTGTTTGGGGGGGGGGAAATCTAATTGGATGGGAAGAAAACAAATTTATAGGGTCAAAACCTGGGTACTCCTATTTCTTGGTGGGTCTTCTTACAATCTGCTGTTTATTTTCGTTGGGAATAAAAATCCTAACTTCTGCACATTGGGAAATTCTCGGAGGTGCTTTGAACATCACCAAGAGTCCAACCCTGTCTTTTGGGGTTCAGCTGTGTAAATTGAGGGGCTCTTCCTGGTCACACCTTGTTTTGTCAGGATTTTGAGTGACTAACTGGAGAGGGAGCAACCCCAGAGACTGACACACCTTAGCGCGCTGCCCTAACAGTGACCCTCGTTGGGCAGCGCCTGGCGGAGGAGCGGAGCTCTTGGTGCCCCTGAAACCCCAGACTCTCTGCATAAGCCCATGCTACACCCCGCCCCGCGCAGAATCCTATCGCCATTGGCCCGCGTCCCCAGACACAGGGCAGAACCAGCGGTAATAGGAAACCCTGCTCCTTCTCTGTCTCCTGGCAACCAGTTTCCAAATCCATTAAGACCCTAGGAATTTGGATTCAGTCCTCGTCTGTCTCGGTCTCTGTCCTTCTTCGGGGTTCAGGGGGGAAGACTCAATTGTTGTGAATACTTCAATCTCACTTCTTAGTGTGTGTGTGTGGGGGGGGGTGCTGCTCCGGAGTGAAACCGTGGGTTCACGTCTTTTTTGCTAGTCATCAGCAGCTCTTAATAAATCAATGAAGGTTCTCGCAGGCGCTACAAAGTCCCGCTGAAAGATTCAGGCGCATCACTTGAAATCTCAAGGACCGAGCGGTTGAAGGTTAAAGCGTTGCCTGTCGTGACGCAGCAGGAGGTGCCAGCAAGCGATATGCAGGTGCCGTTATTGGCTGCGAGGCTTCTGCCTTCGGTGGCCACATCTCCGGGAACCCCAGTTTGCGTTTTTTTTTTTTCTGTTACAAAGGAGACTGACGGCTCTTGTGGGACTCGAAGTGGGGGTGGGGTGGGGGGCTGGGGGAAGACCACCCGAAACGACACAAAATAGCACAACCACAACAAAAAAACTTGAAGCCCATCAACCAACCCCAAATCAAACAGCGCTGTGGGTGCTGTGGCCAGCGGGAGGCTGCCGGCTTTTGCCGAAAGAGGGCGTCGGGAGGGAGGGTTTGAGACGCATCGGAATTTGTGAACTCGGACGCCCGGGCGAGGGAAAGACCACTTGAAAACATTTCCAATTTATTTTAATTTGCTGGACTTAAGTGTCCAGCACTCTCCCGCCCCATGTGGCGAGTTCACGTCGCTAAGGGCCTCGGTGTGCCACCACGTTGCGCTGGGACCTGTCCCGCAGCGGGCGGACCCGGGCGCGGCTCCTCTGAGCTTGTCTCGGCGGCCGAGGGGAACCGCGGGCCCGGGTCTCCGGGGCAGGAGCCACTCCCTGCTTGTCCCGACTCTGAGCACTGTGTGATGGTGCTCCTGGGAGAAGAAGCGGTTGGATTTCCGGGAGCTCGGAGGGGAGCGGAGCGTGCGCCGCCACCCCAGGGGACACTTGGGGGTGCTACCGGGGGGGGGGGGCGCGGAGAAGCTTACCTGGAATAGCTGGGTTAGCCCGGAGCACGCTTTGGAGATGGGGTTCAAGCCTTTATTTAATTTATTTATTTATTTTACCCCCCCCCCAGAAGCTGAGCGGTGGTTCCCCCCCCCCCACCCCCCGGCGTGGGGAGCAACAAGTTTCGCTTTGCTGCTAGCAGCGCGCGGCTGAGGGTCTGTGCGCGCCGACGCCGAGATCCCCAACACTGCGCGGACGCGGGGATCCCCAACACTGCGTCCGCAGGGAGGAGGTCGGCGCTGCGCCGCGGCTGGAGGTGCCACTGAAGACCCGGCGTCCCCGGTCCGCCATCTGGCCGTCCGCACTCGGGACCTTGGTCTTTGTTCCCCGACCTTGAGCCGGGGTCCAGAAAGGTCCTCTGCCCACTCCGAGGGGGCGCGTCGGGAGGAATCTGGACGAGATGAAAAAGAGGTGAGAGCGAGTGTATGTGCACATGTGTGTTGGTAGGGGGAGTGGGGAGGGGGAGGGGATACCTACGGATTATTTCTCCACCGAAACCACCCATTTCCCTACCCCCTACTCCCTCGCCTAATTACGTTTCGGCTTTTCCTTCCTTGCCTTCACTTTCTTTGTGTGTCGCGCGGGCTGGCATGTGCATTTCGGCACATGCAAACACAGTTCCTTTACCCCAGCGGGCAGCTGGAGAGGACTGTGCCACGTGCGGGCCCCGGCGGGGCGTGCGGCTCAGCGCTGCGGGCTCCCGCGGGTGCGGTGCGGACGTGGGCAGCTGCGGCTTTAAGGCAAAAGCCCGCGGCGGGCTGGGAGCGGGGGGTTAGGGACTGGGGAGGAGGAGGAGGAGGAGGAAGCGGAGGGGTGCGGGGAGGAGCCCTGATGTAAGAATGTTAATGAGAGGCTCCCCCAGCCCAACCCCCACCACTCCCTGTCCCCCCACCCCCACCCCCTGCTGGAAATACAAGCCCGCCTCGGCGCGCCTTGTGTGGTAACACGCTCCGCCGCTGCCACGCTATTTAAACGCGGGCCATGGATCCAGGAACCGGCGCGAATCAATGAGATCAAACGCGAGGGAGATGCACCGTCAATTACAAACACTCGGACAAGTCTAACTTTTTTTTTTCCTTTTACAAATACGCTTTCAAAAGCAACCTTAGCAACGCCCAAATAAGAAGCCACCTCTAAGCAAAATAGCATATATAAAGGGAGGACGAATATATATATTTATCATTAGTGTATATAAGTATATTCCAGGCGTACAGGTTTACACCCGGTGAACTTTTTTTTTCTTTTTTCTTTTTCTTTTATTTTAAACTAGTGGTATCGCAGAGAAGGACTCTTGCTCTCCTCTGCCTTTCGGCGAGTTACCGAAGGTGGGATATTCTCCTAGCACGCCCTAAGGGGCGTAGGGACCTCGGAGAGAAGAGAAGGGGAGAAAGAGGCAGGGTGGGCGGGTGTCACCGGGCGAGTCGGCGGCGAGGGCAGGAGCGTTCGGGCGGCACCATGCGGTCCCTGCCGGTGCTCGGCTTCTCCGCGTGCGCCCTGCTCTGCTGGGCGTTGCTGGCCGGCGGCACGGGAGGCGCCGGCGGCGAGGGCGCGGGCGTGGGCGCGGGCGCCGGGCGCCGGGAGAGAGAGGCGCTGCCGCCGCAGAAGATCGAGGTGCTGGTGCTGTTGCCCCAGGACAACTCGTACCTGTTCTCCCAGGCCCGGGTGCGGCCGGCCATCGAGTTCGCGCTCCGCAGTGTGGAGAGCAATGGGACCGGGCGGTGGCGACTGCCGCCCGGCACCCGCTTCCAAGTGACCTACGAGGACTCGGGCTGCGGCAACGGCGCGCTCTTCCGTTTAGTGGACCGCGTGGCGGCGGCTCGCGGCGCCAAGCCCGATCTCATCCTGGGGCCGGTGTGCGAGTACGCGGCGGCGCCCGTGGCCCGGCTGGCATCGCACTGGGACCTGCCCATGCTGTCGGCCGGGGCGCTGGCCGCCGGCTTCCAGCACAAGGACACGGAGTACTCGCACCTCACGCGCGTGGCGCCAGCCTACGCCAAGATGGGCGAGATGATGCTCGCTCTGTTCCGCCACCACCAGTGGACTCGCGCCGCGCTCTTCTACAATGACGACAAACTGGAACGGAACTGCTACTTCACCCTCGAGGGGGTCCACGAGGTCTTCCAGGAGGAGGGCTTGCACACCTCCTACTACAGTTTCGACGAGGCCAAAGAGTTGGACCTGGACGACATCGTGCGCAACATCCAGGCCAGTGAGCGAGGTGAGCAGGAGCGTGCCGCGGGCCCCCTGCCCCGACCAGCGGCTCTCCGTACCGGGTCCTCGAACCCCACTGCCCCGCGCGGCACGGGAGAACCTAGGGCGGGCGCGCGCGCGCGAGCGCGGGAACTCGTCCGGGAGTGTGGCCTGTGCCCGAGCAGAACTTGGATGATCAAGCGTCCAGGTGGTGGGCTGGGAGTAGAGGGTCCCAGGGAGGTGGAGGAGCAGGGGTGGGGATGGGGGTGGGCGGGGAGGGGCTTTTAGGTTGGCTGTTGGCGCGCGTCTGGGTCGGACAGGTGCTGTTTAACCGCGGGAGGATCTCCCCCAGCTCGCTCCCCCTTCTGCCGCACCCGGCTGGCCGTTTAGGGGTGCGTTCTGGTGAGCGTCCTGCTCCCGCGTCTCTGAGTATCCGGAGACGCCAAGAACTACCTAGTCTTTTCCTTCCTTCCTTTCTTTCTACACCCCTCTTCCCCCGACGTGCGTCCTGCTGAGAGCAGCTGACGTTCTGGGGTCCCGCGCGACCCGTTGGCCAGCTCAGGTCTGGGGTGTCTCCGTTCGGAGCCTCTCTTTCCCAGGTCTCAACTTTTCTTTTGAAGGCTCATTGTTTCGCCTTTCTCAGACCTTCCGCGGGCGCGCAGTCCCCTCGGGAAGGAGCTGCTTGTGGTTGTTCGGGTCGCGTCGCTCACGTCCAGGAGGAGATCGGATACCCAGAGATCTCTTTCCCGGGTGCCGCCCAAGTTTCCTTCTCCCACCCCCCCCCCCTTTTTTCTTTCTTTCTTCCCTTTTACTCTGTAGATCGGTGGGGGTTCATATAATAATAACCAAACTGTGTCAAGTGCTCAAGTCGGAGGGGCATGGATAGGGCTCCAGAGAGCCTAAGGGGAGGCGGAGGCTGGGGGAGAGGGGTGCGGGTACCCTTACCGCGAAAGCCCGCCTGGCAGCTCACTTTACTGCCCAGTAGACTGAGGCACGGTGGGCTGTGGTCCCAGCACAGGGGGCAGGTCCCTCTAGGTTGAAGTCAGGGTTGGGGTGTCAAGTCTCTCGGAATTCCACCCCTGAGCTCCCTCCACGCTCACGCTCTTGGGTTGCCACGGGATGGGCAAACGGGGAGACCCAAGGTGAGAGGGGCCGACCCGGCTTGGGGCTAGTCCGTGGCTCGGCACTGCAGGGCACCTGGGCGCTGGCCGCGGGGAACAACGCACCCGAGGCAGGGGCTCTCAGGAACAGGTGAGGGTGGACAGAGGCGCCAGGGAGGTTGGCGCTGCGGCCACCCGCTCCTCTTCCCGCACTCCGGGTGAACGCCCTTCTGAGAGTGAAGACGAGGGAGGTGTTGATGGCTGGGAGGCCAGGCCAAGTTTGGCGCATTCGAACTCCAGGCAATCCGCGCCTCTCCCTGCCAGGCGGCGGGCCGGCGGGGCAGGCGGATTAAGAAAAACGGGCGCTGGGACCCCGCTACGCATCCGCCAAACCGGGTCGAGAACCCCACATCTCTTTTTCCGCTCCATCTCTGCAGACCCCCTGCAGACATCGCGCCGCCTGGACCGGGGGAACCCAATTCCTCGAGGCCCGGGAATCAGCAGCTGATGATTTCCGGGGGCAGGCAGGGGATGGGGGTGCCCGTGCGCCTGCGGGCATCAGCTGCCACTTCCCGCAAGTCTGCAGAACAGCGGGGATCCCTGAGAGGGGATTCCTGCTCCACTTGAGGCAGCTGAACTAGAGGGGAGTTGGACGCCCGGCAACCTGGCTGGGACGCTAGAAGCCCGGGGGACGCGCGCGCGGAGTGGGGTGGGGGTAGGGGGTGTCCTGCTGTCGGGCTTGGGCTGTCAGAGGGCTTGGTCTACAAAGCCTGCTGCAGAAACGGGTTTCAGTTCCCCAAAACTCTTCCCCACAGTCTCTTCGCTGTTTATTTATTTATGGTTTGGGGCCACACCCGGCCCCGATGCTCAGGGATTACTCCTGGTTCTGCACTCTGGATCCCCAGCATCCCATAGTGTCCCCTGAATCAATCCTGGCATGCTGAGGTGGGGGAACCATAGCGAATGCCGGGAACCCCCAAACTGCGCCGGTCCAATGTAAGGCAAGCGCCCTACCCACTGTGCTATCTAGCTGCCCTCCCCCCACCCCCAATCACTTCGCCTTTTAAATTTTTACTTACCAAGTTTGAAACGGTCATACGAAGATTGCTCGTATGATCTTGTATATTATTTTACAGGTGGTAAAGTTACCTCATACTTCTCCTAAAATGTATTTTCAACAGGAACTTGGCCGATGTTCTAAAATATGGAACAAAATAACGTCTCCGCTCAATTTACACCCCGCCCCCTTAACACGAGAACTTCTTACTCTCCAGAGAGTTGCTTGATTACAAAACTTGGGCATTTTTTTTTTTTAACCAATCACCTTTAGCCTTGAATGGGCTTTAAAAAGAGGTTCTGTACAGGGGATCCTGTATACAGGCGGGGATCGGGGGTTGGGGAGTGGAACTTCTTTTAAACCTCTCTTCCCTGACCCCCTCCCCCCCTAAAGTGGGGTCCTAGGAAGCTCCTCTCTTGGGGCTGCAGGGAGGATTAACTGAGCAAACAAACTGGAATGCCTTGAAAGGGTGCCAAAGAAGCACTAAGTACCCAGTGAATGTGAGGTTTTGTTCTAGTTGTTATTAACACGCTTATGACAGTCATCCTAGTGGAAGGAACTCATAGAGAGGAGAGGCTGATTCAGTCTCTCTTCCTCTGCCTATTGTATGACCTGTGATGGTCACTGAGCTCTCTTTGCCTGATTTCCTGGTCTCTGAATCAGGAAGGTCAGAAGAGAACCCCACTTCTCCACAGGGATGTTTGGTGCTGCTCGTTTGAACACACACAAGTGTAAAAATATAACTGAACTTTAGAGGTGTTTGAAAATTCTATGTTAGACTGAGAACTAGAAAAGTATTACCCTTGGGGCCAGAATGATAGTACCATGGGTAGTGTGTGACCTGAGTGGATCCCCAGCATCCCATAGTGTCCCTGAGCACCTCCAGGACTAATTCCTGAGTGCAGAGCAGGAGTAACCCCTGAGTACCCCCAGGTGTGCACCTCCCCTAGAAAAAAAAGTTTTATTCTTATTTGGGGGATTTGGGGGGCTCAATTTATCTTTAAAACAAGATCATCTTGCTTGAATCTCTTAAGGAGGAAGACACTTATAGAGGGAGACAATGTTGGGGCCAGGGGGAGGGGAAATAATACAGGAGTGTTGGGCATGGAGTCGAATCCTTAGACCCACGTGCTTTTCTTGCCCTCAGCATTGCCTGGTGTGGCCCTGGAGGCCTCCTGTCAGTACTGTTGGGGTCCCTTCATGAACCCCCAACACTTCAACGTCCCTGACCTTGGGCCTTTGCTTTGAGCCTTTCCCATTGGCAGAGAATCACAACGAATGGTCCCAAGTCCCTATGAGCCTCTCTTGGGAGCTCCCAGAGTGTAAAAATTGAAAAGCTTCCACTTGAAATAATATAATAAAAGCTCATTTGACTCTGCTCTATGAGAGAAAATGGGAGAAAAAAGGAATACCAGACATTCATTCATTTAGGGATTTACCATCAAAGTCAGTAATTTAAATATTTTCTCTAAAAAAGACAACATATGTCATTGAGATAAGTACATCTGTCTGAGCATATATAGGTAAATATCTTTATCTCAAAGGGATTAAATTATAGGGTCATTTGAATTCTTCAATATTCTATACTCAATAGCAAATTCATTTGTCAAATGGTTGGTTTAGAAAGAATAATACTTTTAAGCTTTTTCTTAGTTTCAGTGTGTTAGCCATTGAGGTTTATCCAAGGCATGATTATTGCTAATTAAAGATAGTTTTTTTTTATGTAACAAAAGCTAGAGTTTTGTCTAAGATATAGAACTAGAAGTACTTTCATAGGATGAAGTGTGCTTTTATCCATTTAGCTATGAACATGTTATTAATCTGGGCCTGCATGACAACTGTAGTGATAACAATATTTAATCAGTCGGAGTCATTTATTTTTAGAATAAGTCTGGGGTAAATGACATAGTGGTTGATCAGAGTTTCTAAACAGAGAACTCACAATGAGTAAATAAACACAGTGGGGGTAGGAGGAGAACATTGGATAGAAATGGAATAGAAGCAATTTTATGAACAACTGATGTAAAGGTTCAGTCTCTTTGGTAAACAACAGTTAATGTACAGTATTGAAAAAAACTACTTTTGGGGAGCGGGCTGTGTGGACCAGCGAGGTCAAGACTTGGTCCCAGTGAGGCAGGTTGCTTAGGGTCAGTGATTAGGGACCTCCAATACTATATCTAGGGGTAATTAACCTATGAAGTGCTAAGGATAGAGTTTGGGGCCTTGTACATGCCAGGCATACATTCCAGCCATTTGAGATAGTCCTCCCACCTCTGAGAAAACACTCACCTCCAATTTTATTAAGAAGCTGTGATTTGCAAGACTGTTTAGACATATAGTTCCAACCACCGGAGTGTCATTGTGTTTCCAAGTATTTCTAAGTCCTCCGTTCCCCACCAGAAACTTGGTTTTGTAGACAGAATTTCAGTGTCTGTTACCTTTGGCCATTTGTTATTCCCTCACTATGTTTCTTAGTATCCCACATACCAGAGAGATCATTTTGTATTTGACCCTCACCCTCTGACTGACTTCAGTCCTGTGATGCCCTCTAGTTCCACCCATATAGCAGCAAATTTGCCTGATTTCACCTTACTTATAGCTGAGTAATATTCCACCATGTAAGTACACCACCATTTCTTTACCTTTTCATCTGTTCTTGGAGACTTAGATCATTACTAGGTCTTGGCTACTGTGAATAGTACTGCGGTGAATATAATGCAGATATCTTTTTGAAATATTGTTTTTGAGCTCTTGGGGTAGATGCCAAGAAATATAATTACTGGGTCATAAAAGCCTATTTTTAATTTTTGAGATATCTCCATACTAGAGAAAATAATTTTTAAAGTTGTATTTATTATTTTTTTAATCAAA